AAAATAGGTACAGTAATGCTCTCTTCTCAGAATACATAAGTGTCAAAAAATACATTTTTATCGATGTAAATACTACATTGATTTTATCGGTTTAAAACTTTATAATCTTCACCCATCGTGTTTTTCAAAAACACAATGGTCACTTTCACGATTTAGTGTAAGATGTCATTGGTGTAATTTTACACCGATGACGCTTTACACTGATTTCAAACGCAGTTTTACTAGTTACCACTTTACAAGGCATGGCAAAAATGTCCTTCTCATTAACAAAACAAGTAAATCCAATCCAACATTAGGTTGTCTGCTATTGCACGCCATTGTTCCTCTATCTATGAATCATTAACATTTCCATCCAATGTTTTAAAAATCAACCTAGAGGTCGAACCATTTTTGTCTTTGGGTCGCGGTGGGTGTGTATAAATATATATTTTAGCAATAAATAATGTATAAATATGTTTTAGATGTATTATTTTATATTTAATATATGTTTTTAATTTTTTATTTATAAAAAATATTGAAAATTATAATTTGAGGCCAAAAGGTTTTTTTTTTTTTTTTTTTTTGCGAAAATAGCAGGACAAGGCGCCCATGATGTATAGATATTGAAAAATCTAAAAAAATTACTCCAAATATAAAAACAAACACCTCAATCAGACATCAGAGTACAAAGTTATGAACTCCAAAAGTTTGTATGTATTCAATGTACAACTTGCGACCTGGTCATTAGGTTGAACAAGTCAATAATTGAACCTATGGAATTGGACGATTCTTGACTAAATCAACAATTTTTAACCATTTAACAGGTCTTGACTGATCCAGACTTAAAACCTTAATCAGGTGATGGTTCAAACGGTTCTAACTCGCCGGATCAATAACCGATTGAAAACATTTGTTTCAATTCCATGCACACAAATTCAGGTACCTACCTACCCATGTTTGGTTCCTTTTCATTTTCTGCGACTTTTCGTATACTTTTTATTTCTTTTGTCAACCATTGAAATTAATTTCCTATCAACAAAATACGTTCCAACCCCTACCAATATGATCAGACACTGCACATCTCATTCATGTTCCCACTTTTATGGTGGGTCTTAGTTAAGGTGAGATTTGCGGTGTTAGATGAAATTGGTAGGGATGGGAGCGAGTTTTATTGGTAGGAGATTCAACTGACCAACTCTTTTTATTTATCTCTCGCCTTTTCATTCTTTTACGGGCTAGTTTGACCTCTTTATTAGGTGTGTTAATGTGTAAATTCGACCGGTTAGGTTTGGTTGAGGTCAACTCTAAATTAATCCTAGCGGAACCTCCAATCCAAATCCTAACCTCAGCCGAATGGATTAGGTTCGGATTGGCCAATTTCTCTACTTCCTTTCCTGTTGTTAAAGGTATGATTTTCAAAACCAGATTGGACCGGACGGTCAGACCAGAAAAATCGGGAATCAATCAGGTGACCGGTTTCATTTTTTCCCAAAAACCGTTGATTTTGGTCAGCAAACTGCTGACCTGGGCGGTTAATCGTTCGCATGATTTTGACCATTTTTTATTTTTTAAATTTTTTAAATTTTAAATTTTTTGTTAGAACAAGCTGACGGTTCGGTTTGAACAGTTGGACCATTCAAACTGTTCAAATGGTTTTGACCATTTTTTTAATTTTTAAATTTTTAAATTTTTTTAGTAGAACGAGCTGACCGTTCGATCCGGGAACCGGACCCCTGACCAGTTTGTTCTCTGGGTCGGTTTTAAAAACCTTGGTCAAAGGTTTTTATTTTCTAGAGTTAAGGGTTGGGGTAAATTCAATTTTAACATTATAATATATTTGGGGGGCATTCATTTTTTGGATTTTAAAAGGGAAAAAGTTGGTTAATGGGATTTTGGTTTCTATTAATCAGAAAATCCATATTCTTTTTTTCAAATTTATATAGAGAATAGAGAAAATTTATTTTCCGGGTAAGTGATACCCATCTCCCAAGTGATGCAATTGATTGACCCGGATGAACCTTCTATATAGCCGAATGAGTTTGCACGAAATTCACTGTATTGTCCATTTTAAATTGGGGTTTTCTTTGAAGGTACCATTTTAAATTAGGTTGGTTCTAGTTACCCTATATCACGGCATTAACATAATTAAGGTACCCTTAAGTTTTTTGACAACAGACATCACCCTTAAATATTGACAGAAAAAACAAATTGTTAAATTTACCTTTCATTATTTTTTAAAATTTCAAAGTAAAACCCAATTGAGAAAAAGTATGATTCTATCAATTTTGATGCATGTGACTTGAAATTCATGGAAATTTAGCCAAATAAATCCTTTATTTTTCTGTCAAAATTTATTCTCCAACAATGGCTTGTCGATTGACGTGTAGAGAAATGTTGCAGGATTCATCCTAGAGATCAAAGATGAGTCAAACCTGCGAGAGAGATATGAGAGCTCATCGCACACTCTCCCGGTGGAGGAAGAGCTGAATAGGAAAAACGACTCTGGAGTTGAGAATTCTAAGCTCAAAAACCGTGCAAGGAAACAACAACACAAGAATTCTCGTTTGGTGAAAAACAAACTTCGAACGAGGTCTTCTCGTCACTCTAAGCAATATTAGTATATGTATTGCATGACTTTCCTTTATTAAATAAATGTTTATACTTGATTTGTTGATAACTAGATGGCATTAGGTGCCACCTCAGCAAAACAATAAATAAACGATTAACAAGTTCCCCCAGCAGTTAGTGTGCACGTAAATCAAGACCAAAAGTTATCCATAATTATGTGTATAAAACCCTATGATGGGACAAATGCTAATTTGGCAATGACATGGCATCGTTCATTGGATGAACGGAAGCCATACCAAACATTGCCTAATCGGCCTTTGATTGTCATCGAGGTGAAAATTTTGCTAGTAGATTAGGTATTATAAGTCACATTAACGATTTCTTTGTCATTTTGCATCTTCGGTTATTTCATGCCTTATAATCGAGTTAAATTTCCATGGATGAGATTTGGAGCTGTAGATGTTTGAGGTTTTGTGTCACAATTCTCAAACCGCTAGTTTTTATTGTGCTTTGTGATGGTGCGTGATCTGGTGCTTCCTGTTGGTAGACTGTTTAGACATCGAATTGAGTAGGTCGTTTAGTCGAGTTGCAAAAAAGTGATGATCAGAGTGTCTGGGTTGCTTTATCCGGAGTGGGCACTCCGATGCTTAAGTCGGTGAAGAGTTTTGAGAGAGCTAAAAGCAAGAAAACTAGAGAGCTAGTGAATTGTGAGAGCTAAATTGTGCGTACATTTCTTAGAAAATGGGGGTGCCTTTATATAGGTGTCAGTTGGCGTGAGCTTTACGCACCACATTCGAGATCCCCGTGAGGACATGACTTACTGGTCCGAAGTTCTCGGAGGTAGTTTCACATGCGGACTAGGCTTTCGTGCCTTATTCAGTTGCTTTTGGAACAATCGGTGCGGGAGATGACTTTTGGAGGACCCGGGAGTGATAAGACGCACACAAGGGAGGTCAGCAAGCACGTCTCGTATGTCTCCACTTAGACCTCAATCAAATCGATAAGTCCTTCGGGGGAGGTCACTCCTCACGTTGAGGTCCCTAAGAACCGGTACTGATGAAGTACTATAGGTCGACCTTAGACGAGGTGCTACTAACTACTTTCTCGAGGTGTCTGAATTGTACACAAGGTGCTCGGATTGGTTCTGGGGTATTCCTCAACTTAGTGAGATCCATAGCTGTTTATATGATGCTAAAATATCATGCCATGTATTTTAGCATGGCATGATATTTTAGCAGACGGGAGGAGAGCGAGTGGGAGATGTAACGACAAGAGATGAAAGTGAAGATCCACCTTACGGGAGGAGAGCGAGTAGGAGTTTACTTTGCAGACGGTCATATCATTACAAACATTAAATCTGCAGTTGAATCTCAGATTGGAGACTGAAACGAAAAGATGATATATTTTATCTTTTTTATATCTAACACACACATATACTTTAGTGGATAGATAATTGATAGTTTTTGATGGAGAGTGGATAGATTTGAAAATCATTGGATTTTATTTTAAAAATTTAAAGAAAAATAAAAGGTAAAATTAACAACAAGAAGATAGTTTTTGATGGAGAGTGATTTGGCATGACTTAGTAAGTAGAGGTCCTGTGGATGCGATCTGCTTGAAGGATGATAATTCAGCGAAAAGAGTCTAGTCACCAAAAGTTAGAGCTTGGGTATTCGGTCACCTCGGCCCAAAACTATCTCGACATAGAGTCATCTCGGCATAAAGGCACTTCGGCACCCAATTTAGGTCAGGGCCAAAGAATCAAAGTGCCAGTTCGGGGCCAAAGAACCAAAGTACTAGTTCAGGGGCAAAGAACCAAAATGCCACGTAATCGACTCCAGAAGGTTCCCCAACGAATTCCGAATTTTCCGAGATCACGATGTCTAATAACAGGGCTCATCCTCACTCCACCCGAATCAGAGGAAAGTGATAAACCTTATCAACTGGCGCATTGCTTTCCTTCGGAAACGGAATGGATCTTATCTATGTAGCTCGGAGATCCCGGAGCCTTTTTGTAAGATTCACGACTACTCAACTATATAAGGGCATCAATCCTCAAGGTGAAAGTACGCGCGATTACTTGCACTCAAACTCTATAACATTTATACTTAACTTGCGAATACAGCAGAGTATTGATTTAAGCATCAGAGCGGCTTCACAGAGTCTTCCACCCGTCCCTGTGAACCATCTTTTACAAATTGATCTACCTTGCCACGCGAGTGCGTCTAAGCAATTCTTTAGCCAGGAGCTTTCGGATGGCGCACCATCAGTTTTGAAATTAAGAAATTATATAAATCACGTGATAGACTGGATTTTGATCCATTTACCTTATATAATTCTTTCAGTATAGCTCTTCTTTTATTAAAATTTTTCTAACAGGTGAAGCTGTAGAGGTCCGAGGGAAAGTGCTTAACTGCACCGCTCCACCCACCACCTGACACCATTTAAAGTTCACCACCCGACACAGCCCAGCAGTCAATGGGCTCAACATACCCATTAAATGCAACTCGTCCCTCCCTTAACAGATGTCTTCTCTCTCTCTGTCTCTGTATCTGATAAATAGTTAGGCTGTTTTCCCTTTTTCTTCGTCTCTCTTTCATTCCGGAAGAAAAAGAAGGTTGGATTGAAGAAAGAGGATGAAGATGAGATTTGAATCGATTCTCTTTTGCTTACTTGTAGCCCCATATTTCTTTGCGTCGATATTCTCGGATGCAGCTTCAGTAGAACAGTGCAGCAGTTCGCTTACATCCGTGACCAATTGCTTAGATTACTCCTCAGGAAAGGCAGAGTCACCTAACAAGGACTGTTGCAATTCTGTGACCAAAATCAGGGACCAAAATCCGGTTTGTCTGTGTTTTATAATTCAACAAACCCATAAAGGTACGAACTCATTCAAGCAACTTGGTTTAAAGGAGGATAGGCTGCTTCAACTCCCAACTGCTTGCAAATTGGCTAATGCAAGCGTTAGTGAATGTCCAAGTAATCTCTCTCTCTTTCTCCTTGTTCAATTATTTCTACTTCTTGCTACTATTGGATTCGTAGTTGTTAACAGTATTGTATTACAGTAACATGGATGTAGATTAGGTGGAGGATAAGATACAGGTCCTTCTATTTCTCACTAAAAATAAAGTTGATCATTACACCTTACAATCTAGACCATTCAATGATTATTGATTAAATCAGACTTTTAACCAAAAAATTTTGCAGAGTGGACAATCTCGACATTTTTTGAGTAACTCTTTTTTTTTTTTACCTTTAATTCTTCTGTTTCTTGTTCTAGATCTCAACAGAAGTGCCTTCAATCCTTTGGGCTGCAAATGTATCTCCTTGTCCAAACTTAGGAGTGATTCAATATTGAACATGGATCCACCCGATCTGACCTACACGGGGTCCCCCACACACGTAACACATAAACACCCTCTCAAGTCCCAACCCTGGTGAAAGGCGGAATTCGATCCCAAATATCCACTACAACCAGCCAAAGATCTTATTGTCCAGATAGGCCAGTATTAAAAATTGGTTTGAATGTTGTGTTTTATTAAAGAGTCAAATCAACTCTCTTAAAACTTTATTTTGAACTTCTTTTGTCCATGATGTACAAATTTCATGGTCATTTTAATTTCTTTTTCAATTGATTTTGTTCATTTTTTGTCCATTTCATCAATAATACATAATTGGTTGGTTGGGCATAATACCATTGTCCATCCCGGTGGTCTCAGTTTTGGACTGAATACTGATTCAAGCAAGTTTTGCGTCTGCGCAGTCTGAAGAGTTCGGATCTGCTAACCACAATATATTGGTGGTCACATTCATCCATTCATCCAGTCACACATCTGGAACATCGGCTGCAATTTTACTTCATTGATATTCCTAAAGTGGGGCTGGATGAGCGTGGCCAGCAATGTATTGTGACATAGTTGGGCCAATATAGGACATATTCATCCTTCATTGAAGGTGCGAAGAACTCTGATAACGTGGTATATGGGTGAGAGGTGGTTCCCTTTGAAATAGACGAGTCTGAGAAGTAGGGTCACCCTTTTTCCGTGGGCCTATGGTTAGTCCTGGCTCTTAGGTGGTGTTCGAAATTATGGTTCAGCCACGATATATTATGGTTTGAAACGTGCCATGATTTCTCTCAGTGTTCGGTTGTACTGTGATATGCACCCAACACAATATATTGTGAAACGGTCCACACCACAAGGTAAAAACCGTAAAATATCATTCATGGTTATTTTTCGTGGACAGGTCCACATTATCGTAGACATTTATTTTCAGATTGATCCCATGCTTTGCATAATTCTCAAATAATGTGTTTTACCTTAATTATTAATATTAATAAATAATTTTTAAATATCATTTTTATTAATATTGATAATTATTTTTAATATTATTAATTATTATTTAATATATTAATACTACTGTTAATATTATCAATTATAATTAATATTTTTACTCATTTTAGTTATTATTAATATCATTTGTTATTTAATATTATTAATTGTTAATATCCTTAGTAGTTTACTAATATTTCTCTATTATGTATATTATTAAAAAATAAATTATTGTTTTTAATGATTAATGGCATAGATTGTCTCAAATGTTTGTTAATAAGATGTATGGAATCATAACACAAGGTGTGCACTAAAATGTAACACATTGAGGGGGGCCAAAACTTAAAAAATCTGGATAGGGGGGGGGGCAAAAGTTAAGAAACATGAGTAAGGCATAGGGGGGTTATGGCTCTCCTCCACCACCCCCTGGCTCCGCCCCTGGTAACACACCTTACAGAACGCCATTGAAGATGTGGTATGATTCAATTCACTCATCTTTGTTCACGATACAGAACAACCTCTTAAAAGGTCTTTTATGAGGAAGTGCAGTATCAGACTGTTTAGTGTTTAACACACTACGAGTTTTCATGGGGTTTTCGATGGATATCTGCTCTTGTAAATTTATTTGATCTGGGCTTGGGTGGGCCGAAAGCAGTTGTGGAGTGGTCTCTGTCATTTTGGTCTGCTGCTCACTGGATTCTTGTATGTCCTATATTTTTTAATACATTCTTTTTTTTTTTATCAAAATGAAATATATAATATTTTCATCATTTTTAGTTTAATTTATTAATGCCCTTTTAAAATATATGATTATTGCAATCGGAATTTGATTTGAATTTCATATGGATAAGATTCAATTCAATTCGTATCCAATAATGAATCAAAGTGAATTTGATACAATCCAGTCAATTTTCTTTTTTATATATCTTTTGAAGGGCTACACAACCATCGATCCAAGTCTCCGCTACGACGAACAAAGGACCTTACCAACCAGCTGATTGGCACCTTAAATTCAATTGTTTTGGAGCTATTATTATTATTATTATTATTATTATTTTTTGATAATACTGTTTATTTGTTTATTGTGTTGGACAGAACTACTGGACTTACCACCCAATTCTCCCGATGCTGCTATCTTCAATACTACTACCAACTCTACTGCGCCCTCTTCCACCACCACCTCCTCATCACCAGGTATGTATGGGATTCACTCTCCTCATCCTCCTCTTGTTTATTATGATTCAATTAACCTCACTAGAATTTTGTCGAATTGAATGCAGATACTTCCAGTTCAACAACGCATGATTCCTCCAATGGATTTATCCACGGACCCCACACTGCAGTCTCTACTGTGATCACCGCCGTTGTTGTGGCAATCTGCACATCGTTGCTCCCAAACAACTTTATGTCTGTGCGCCAAGCAGGAGCATGAAAGGTGCATAATACAACCAGCTACTTGCTTCCCAGTAAGCCTGTTAATGAAGGGAATGGGTAGGGTAGGGTAGGGTCTTCCTTTATGACAATTTGGGAGACATTTGTTTGATTCGAATCTGGTCAGTTGGTTGAGATCGATAAACATAATTTCTTTCTGAAGTGTGATTTATTATGCAAACATGCACCAAGTAGAGTTTTCTTTAACTGTTCGTTTTTGGGCCATCCTCCTCCTGTTTTTTGGGCCAAGCCCCCATCTCTCAATGGAAATTTTGAATTTTTAAAGGTTAGGAGTAAAACAGATATAGTAGGAAAGTTGGACCGGATTAACGTAGAGCTCATTCAAGGCCCATCTAGATCTAGGCACAAAATGCAACCATAAATGACAATTGGCAAGCGTAAGTCGGACTCTTCTATGTCTTGGTTCTATGGGCCCCGCATAAATCACTATGGCATAGGAATGGAGAGCCACTCCCCATCCTGCAAGAGCAAGAATCTTTTATCCCCATTCCTGTTCTCATTCCCATCAGCTGCGAGGGATCCCCACTCCCCATTTTTTTATGATATTAATTATTTTGTTTTGTTTTTTATTTCATTTGAAAAATTAAAATAAAGTAGTTAAAAGTTACAATTATATTAAAATGTTAGGATCCGTATTTGGCAGAATTGGGGTAAGGGTGTCAATGGACGGGTTTTGGATTGGACCCGTTCAGTCCAAAATCAATTTGAACGAATTGGACGAACTGAAAAGACAGTGGATTGGACCAATCTGGTCTATTGATATAAGATAAGAATGTAGGTGTCAATGGACCGGGTTTGGGTCGAAACTAATTTCAATTAAAATGAATTTGAACAAATTGAACGGTCCAAACATTAAATTGGACTGATCCAAAGTGGTCCAAATTATTCATTGGATTGGATTTGATTGGACCCGATACGTTTGTAATGGATTCACATTGGACTGGATCGGATTGGACCAAATCCAATCCAATCGACACCCCTAGATTGGGGGAATCCAGATCTCTCCTACACTGAAGAGTTTCTTGTACATCAAATCAGAGAGGAAGCTTCATGCTTAAATTTTATATGTGCTAGTGGGAGTAATAGATGTTTTAAATGTCCTCCCATTCTGTTTTTAATATATTAAAATTTTAAAATTAATAAAAAACAGGAGTTCCAACTTCCAACTCCCGTTATAGAACTGAATATCACTAAGCAGAAGAAACCTCGAATAGGAGTTCCGACTTTTGAGAATTTTACTTCCTTTCACCTAAATGATTCTGTTAGCTCATAAACTCTCAAATGCCTGTCTGAACCCAACTTCATGTATTGATCATTGATGATGTTGTAGCCAAATGTATATAAATATCTGCAATGTTTGGATTAGTAGACATTAAGTATAGAGCAAGACATCCATTCAAGAATCTCACATAACTCGGTTGTTTGTTCCCTATGGTGACATTTTGCGCTTGAAATAGACCTGTGGAGGATCGGATTCGACGAGAGCAAACAAACATTCTTAGTAACAATAAGTGATAGAATACGATCCCAGTTGATAATTGTGTAAAAGTCAGAGTCATCTCAGCTTCAGGCGTTCAATTTTGGAAGTCGAAAGTCGGAATTCTTTTATTGGTGGTTTTTTCTGCTTCGTTTCAGCTTTGTAAAGTTTTATTTTTTGTTTGAACGAAATTGGATGAAAAAACCCTAATCCATATTTTTTATTTGTTTTAAAATTTTAATATATTAAAAATAGAATGGGAGGACGTTTGAAAAGTCTGTTACTCCCACTGGCACATGTAAGATTTAAGCATGAGAGAATGCTAGCATGACATTCTCTAATTTGATGTACATAAAACTCTTAAGGAAGGATTGCGCAAGAGATCCAGACTCAGATTGGGGATTGGCCGCCAATGGGATGCAAATTTCCCCATTCTCATCTAGTGAGGAGAAAAATCATCCCCATCCCTACCCCCATTCAGGGCAGGTCCCCCTGGGGATTGCGGAAAACTGCCCCTACTATGGTTCTTGTGCCCCAAGCCTCCTCTTTCATGTTCCATTTTATCCGGAAGCTTAATGAAGAATTTGTAGAGATATGAGGTATTTCTAAACATAGATTTCAACAGTGCAGACTATGTCATTTGTGTATGATGAAAATAAGCTGAGGTTTTCAAATTCGTGTCAAAAAACATGAAGACCAATAGGAGTACGGGTCTGCTCCTTACAGAACGCTCCTCAGACCAACCTCACAGTATGTCTTAGTTGCACATGGGGAATATCTCCCGTATTTATATTTATTATTCATGGGCAAATGTTCCCAATACATGGTGAGATTTGACTATGAAATCAGCATGAGGAGCTTTATGTGAGGAGCAGATCCCATCACAACCATAGATATCACAACATTGCAAAGATATGAAAGAAAAACTTGTAAATTGAAATTTGAGATAATCATCATCACCATCAAAAGCCTTGTCGTCGCAACTAGGGATACTGAAACAAAATTTCCTAATTTAATGTGCTTTACTGTTTGAATGTCACAATGCAAACATGGGGCCGGGAACAAACTGTAACCTTCCACTGAAGCTAAAATAAAATCAAATGGGGCTGGTAACAAACTAACAATGCCCTCCCTCCATTACTTCTCGGAATTCAGGACTAGATGGTATGATCTTTGCCCAGCCCAACATTCTTCCCGGATGAAATTGTAAAGTTACAACAGAAAATTCAAAGGACGCTGTCAAAAGAATACAATATATTAGTTGGTCATGTTGGGTGCAACGTGAGAGGCGTAAAGAACTTATATATAAGGATTGGCCTGCAGCCTAATGGCTTAAGATTTTGGGTTAAAAGTGATTTCTATCTCTTGCATGTAAATACAAATTCTTCGGTTTTGACTGATTCCCCCCAATGTTATTAACAAAAAATTAAGGGTGGTCAAAATGCAGAGGGAGATGCATGATGGGTGAAACTTAAGGAAAGATATTTTAGGTCAGCTTCAGCTTTGCATACTGAATTGACTGCAAAATGCAGCGACTCAGTATGTATGGTGGAAGGATGATTTGTACTGAATTGAAGAAAAACTTTTCCTTGCCAAATTAAGGGTGGCATTCAAGTCAATATGCTATGTGACTCGTGTAACTACAATAGTCGGGAGGGGTTCCACTTGCTGTGAGGGAGTTGAGATTGCAGCAGATTCATGGAAATTGAAAAATAAGTAAAATGAGCTATTCCCTCATCACTGAGACCGTGTTTGATTTGAAGGAAAAGGTAGGGAAAGGAAAGGAAAGGTAGAAAAACCTTTACAAATTTTGTCAGAGAATAAAATCTATTCAAGGATCTTACTTAACAACTTAAGTCACTTTGGTCAAATGGTCTATTATTTGATTCTCGTCATCCTTAATATAATTAATTAAGTCTCAGCAAGGTATAGGTGGGTCTATGCTATCTATGTTTTTGTATAAATAAGCATATTAAAAAATAAAACCTATTCAAAGACTTCACTTAACAGCTTAAATTTTTAGGTTGAATGATTATTTGAGAAGAAATCGCAGATGAGACATAGAGAAAATTAAAAAGAGATAAATTACTGTAGAAAGGAAATTCATCTGCAACATACACGGTTTAATCTTCATACAGAAGTTTCATCATTAATTGCAGCACTTCTTATGCATGTCTATATGGAAAATAAAATCTCCTATATATGGAAGTCATATTGGGGAATCGGTACAGATGGTGATCAAGGGTGTGATGTGTCATCTAGCAGAAGAAACACAAAATCACCTGCTTTTTACTTTGCGTAGGCCATTTGGCTCTCATTGCGGCTGGGCATAAATTCTAATGAAACTGCCGGTCAAAACATGGCTGATATAGTTCAGGCCAGCAATGGAAAAATAACAAATTGCACCTGTGTTCTCATATCTGCCATCCTAATAATTTATCAATAAACCAAGCAATGGCCTTGGCCCCTATAACAATTCAGCATACCAAAGTAGAAAATTTATTTGAATACTAAGGAGAAACGTTAATTGGATTACTTATTTAGCAAACACCACTGTTCTGACCTTTTGATTATTATAGCTGAAGTGATTGCCAATTTCAACTTCAGCCATAAAAGGAGCTCACAAGTCACAACCTGGTTACTAACTAACTCACAAGTAATAAACTTTTTGGCAGTTTAGTTTTCTTTATTCGGAAGGACCCTGTCTTCTACCAGTTCCCCAGTTTAACCCGGGATCCTCTAGGGATTGAGCTGGGTTTGATTAAAATTTGTTTGAGGACGGACGTACGGTTTAAGTGGATGGAGATAGGTCTAAAGTTCGTTCACGGCAATGTTTATCTCAATATCTAATGGTGGAGCAATTAATGCAACAAGAACAAGAGCTTTACCATATGTATGACCTGGTGGAAACCCAAAGTGAAGAGGAAGATCGACATTACACCTCAAGTGTTCTTACTTCTTAGTTCCAGAAAAAAAAAGACAAATTTTATATCAGCCCAGCAAAGCTATGGAGTGATGGGCCTTGGGCCATCCTTGAATGGGCTTCCATGGCAATGGTAAACATTTATTTTAAGTTAAACCCATATTGGAGGTATCAATACTACCCACGAGTCACGAGTCACGACCAATCAAATGGATGTAAAAAAGAATTTGTGTACTCCAAAGAAATAATAGAAATTCACATGTTCTTAAGTTTGCCGAGATAGAGTACATGCTAACTGAAAAGTCAGAAGTCAGAAGACAACCCCCTAGTTTTATAATCATGACAAAACTATAATAAATAAATAGAATAAGGGAAGGGGGTGCTTTTGAATTTTAAGGACTCTTTTTGACTAATTATTAAGGAGTCATGATTGGGTTCCCGTAGAAGGTTGTCCTTTCATTCATGTTTCAACGTTGCAAATGTGAGTAGGGATATGCTACAAATTTAAAATAAATTAGGTTTTGCACATCTGTACTCCCAGTCCATTGTATTATGTATATGAAAACCCCTTTTTTATATGGCATCATGCGGATGCCAAATAAATCCCCCGTCTCAATCCAACATCATTCTCCGCACCCCACCTTAAAAGCAGTTGTATAGTGTAGTAGCCTAGCCCCATTAGCGAACGAGTAAGCTGTTGTTGGCTTCATCAAGTCAAGGCCCAAGGGAGTAACGACTCAAATATTGATTTAATTAAAAGGAACGACCATGAATTTCTGAGTTTTTTATAAAGTAATAAGCTTGATTAACACGTCATCGACACTCAACTTTTTCAAACAACGAGCAAATCGTGAATTCCAGTCGCAGTACTGTAAGATTAGAGATTAGAGTCTGAGAGGTCTCCCGTCCACCGTCCACCTCCGTTTGTCTTCCGTCTCTTTCTTCATCATCATTCCAATACCAAATTGCATGTCTTTACCCTTTTACCATTAATTAATTTGCTTCATTAGATAAATGTATAATTCCAGTTCCACCGTAAATTGCCAGCCCCAGCAACCATCAACCGGCCGGGGGGTTGTTTGTTTGTTTGCATCATTTGACTGAAAGACCGACGGCTTACAGATCTAGGGTCCCACGACATGATGGGATGGGGGGGGGGGGGGGTTCATCATTCATGCTGTCGAGAAGGCCAGGCCAGATGGGTAAGGTTCTAACTTATGGTGTCGGCATCAAATAACGTGAAGTAGTGCAACGTGTCATACATATATGTGATTTTAATTTGCATGGGATGGGGTAAGACTACTGTAAACAGGTGACGGGTTAGCAGATGTGAGTTCCCTCTCAACTCCCATGGATATATCCATGTTATGTATGACACTACTTATGAGTTATGATGACATTGATGCTTCACAGTTCAGTCAGTTTGACTGGCCAGTCTCCCACGCTTAAGTGCTTAACGCTTTCGCTTCGTCCACGCACAACACACAAAAATGTGTATGAATATTTAGTATTTATGTATGTATGCTCATGCTCATACACAAAATGGAAGATGAATCTTGGAAGTTCAATTGAAGGAACAGTGTGAACAACAGACAAAGACAAGCAAATCAGGTTAGAGATTTGATTAAAGCGTGTAGTGGAATTCAACAAAATTAGGTCTCTCTCTCTCTCTTGTCACGTTTACAACGTGAAGGCTTTACTGGCGGTCGCCGGTCTAACCAAATTGCCTTCGTTACTCCCCTCTTTTCCATTTTTCATTGCAAGTAAGAAGTTGTACAGCTCAGTGGCCTTGGCCCTTGGGTGGCGGGACACAAAGTTTTTAACACAATAGCATACTACATGTTACACTGCAAAATTAATCCGGATACCCTTCTACCCACATCTACACTGCACAATGCACATTACACTTGTACATTGAAAACATCTTCCTATCAAAAAATATTAGGTTCCAACCTTCTACCAACTTAACCTGACACCGCACATCTTACCCACCATGAAAGTGAGATGTGCCATGTATGATATATGCGGTGTAAGATGATATTGATAGAGAGGGTCAGAAGGTGTTTTATTGTCAATTCAAAATCTGGAGATTTTTTCAATAGACGGCTGTAGTACTGATCAGTAGGTAAGTGTGAGTAGGATTCTTGTGGGGTTGGATATCTGAAAAACTAATAATTAAGTCTATTCTAACATGCATATAAATGTTAGCTAAGAGCCCAACCGTTCAGGAGGGTTTGTGGATTGAGCTGTAAAGAAGTGTAGTGGTCATCATGCTAATTAAGCATCCGTGTTTCGGATAAAGTATTCATAGTAGTTTCATATTTATTCACTGATACTGATTCAAGCTTTCTGGATTTTTGCCAAATCAATTATTAAGGTTTTTAAAACTGAACCGTACAAAGAATTGTTTTGGGTCATACAGTTTGACTGTTTGATTTGAATAAATGGCCTACTCTGATAAAAAAAATAAAAATAAGGGGCAAAAATCGTTGTTTAGGTTGATAGTTTGACTATCCAAATCAGCAATTCACTAACTAAATCAACAGTTTTTAGTCAAAAAGCAATTCCAGACTGAAACGGAACCAATCAGTGATCAATTCCTTGGTTCAACTGTCCAATCCGGTCTGGATTTGAAAACATTGAGCTGTATCTCAAACGTCCACTAAGCCGGTTGCCCAAATTTGTGAGCTTATATGAAACGGAAATACACAATATTCACACCTAGGATCTTAATTCCTACAGGATCCATGAACAAGTTATGTAGAAGGTATTTTTCATTGGTAAAGATACGGCTTTATCTCTTTTGCTAATCCAAATAAAAATGCTCTTGTAAATCCAAATGACAAACATTTCATCATTCAAGCCTTATCCCAACTGTACCAAATCTGCTACATAATTCCTGTTTTGCCATTTCCGGTTCTTTTTGCTTTTGGCCACCAGTTTCTAGGTTGAACTGTGTTTGCCATTTCCTCTTGTTTAATTCAAGGTTTTAAAAATTAATACGGAAATAGAATTACTTTGGCCCCCAATTTTTTGGCAAATAATTTGACCACTCAGTTTGAATGGTCAATCCTTGATAAAAAATAAAAAATCTCAACTTCTTGGGCCTAAGTCTAACCCAAAGATAAAAAATCCAAGCTTTGTTTGTGTAAAATTTCGGGTTGGGCCCGCCCAAGTTGCACCTCTAGTGTTTTTAGATACAACACAATAAATTAATGTTTTAAAAAACAACCTAGAACTATAACTATTCTAGCCATCGGTTTTTGGGTTGATGATTCGACTGTCTAATTCAAACGGAAGACCCGTTTTGACAAAAAATTAAAATAAAAATAGCCAAAAATTGTTAAACGGGTCAGCAGTTCAACCGCCTTGGTCAATAAGCCGTTGACTGATTCAATGATTTTTGGTCAGGGACCGGGCTTATGGGTAAAACAAAACTAGTTACCTTAACAGTTCTCGAGCCAAATGATCTAACCACCCAGATCAATGAATTGTTGACCGACTCAATAATTTTTTATCAAAAACCAAATTTGAATAAAACAGCTGATTGCCTGAACATTTTCTATGCTGTTCGGATTGCTTGAACAGTTTTCAGGTCGAACAGTCTAACCATTCGGATCAACAGCGGTTCAAAAACCATGCGAAAAAACACTGGATTTCCTGCCTACAAGACAAGTCTGTGTAGCAGTGTAGGTTGGAGATAGAGAGTGAGAGAGGATCGCAGATTGCGCTGAATGGCACGGGAATGGGAATTGGATGGTTATGATTTATAAATTAATCATCTTTTCATTTAAAATAATTTAATAAGATTATAAGAATAAGAATGCAAGAGCATGAGGCGAGGGGTAAAATTGTTATAATGATAAAAAAAAGGGGGGGGGGGGGGTGGTGGGAGTGAATTGAAGTCATGAAGAAGGTGTGTAATGTGGAAACTGGGAAAGCTAAATAACATGATGATGATCATAAATTAGAAATGTTGGGAGAACGCAATCATGCCGAGGGCGTGAAAGCAGATCAAGTAGAGAAAGGCAATGGGTATATTAAATCGGAGCCGTTGATTAGACGAAAGAAAGAAAAAGGAAAGGTTGCATGTTGCATGTTGCATCATGCATGGCATGGGAAAAGGCGATTTGGATGAGAAGTTTTACTTGACCGCGTAGCCGTAGCGTTCACACGTGCAGGACAGGACAAAGTCACAACTCACAAAGAAGAAGAAGAAAGAACCGAAAATTCCTTTACACTTTTCAACAAGGAATCAAATACCTTAGGCTTAGCTTAGCGTAGCTTAGCTTGGCTCACAGCCTAAACGTGTGCCGTCTGCCATGCCTCGGCCTAAATCCTAATCTCCTGCTGCTCTTAAGTCTTAGCTTAGGGGCTTAGGCTTAGCAAGATTAGCATTATGTGAAGATAGGAAGGAAATTAGGAATTAGGAACGGCTCAAATTTTCTGACATAACATGAGGGACATTGTGATTGGACAAGAGTAGGGGGGATGGATGAATGGTCCACGTCCACCTTGGGTTTGATCATGGCTACAAAATATAATTGGGCCAAGGCCAATGGTTTGGCCCATTAGAGGCACGAGGACATGATGAAATATGAATGAGAATGATGAGGGAACATGGAAGGTATCGCCTTCGCCTACTGTACTACTGATGATGACTGAAACGTGCATCTGATCTGCATCATAGACATAAGAGGGAGGGATTAGGTCGAGACAGGTGTAACAATTCTTTCAACAAAATTCCAAGCTCAGTTGCAGATGCAGTGCAAGTGGAGGGATTAGGGAAACTTCTTCTCCGACAAGCATTTTATATATAGTCGACAGCATTCAGCCAGGCCCAGGGCCCAGGAGGGAGGACCGAGGATGGCAGTAAACAACTAAACAAGAAGCACCCCCGCCACAGTCCCGGTGTGCTGTTGCTGTTTGTTTTCTAAAATGGGGAGGACAGGTCAAACAAATCTAGGATGGCATCTCCGTAAATATCCTTTTGTAGAAGGATCAATATTCGGATCGGTCAATTTAATAATTATTACAGGGGGTCAGTGGGGGCCACCTGATGCCTGATGTGGTAAAAGATGAATGGGCCAAGGAGGAGAGAGACAAGTTAAAGGGGAAAAGAAAGACAAGACAGACAAAAGAAGAGGGGAGCGGGGAAGCCGGGGCATGGAGGGCCTGGCCATGCTGAGGCAACTAATTGGACAGGTTCAGGAGCTCTGGGAACTCTACGGCTCTCCTCCTCATTATCTCCACCACCACCACCACCACCACCAACAGCAGCTGCAGCACCGCCCCCATTATCAAACTCAACAGCATCAAAGGTCTTCTCTCTCTCTCTCTCTCTCTCTCTATCTCACAGTACTGTGTATCTATTTTCAATCTCTCTCTCCTCTTTAATTTCTTAACTTCTATATCTGTCCTCTCGCATGTGTTGGGATTTTGAGAGTTTTCCGTGAAGGATTCTCTTAGACGATGAAGAATTTACCCATTTTAGTCGCATTGTGATCAATTGACACTTATTCATTTTCCTTTATTTCTTTGGTAATTAAGTAGTTCGGGTTCTTCTTCCCCTTGCGTTCTTCCTTCTACTGTTTGCCACCTTTCCTTCATTCTTTCTCCGTCTACTATATTCTACTTTTCTTTCGTTCCTTCTGATTTTCCCTCATTTTTCTTTCTTAGGTGGTTGGATTTTTTTTTTCCTTTCCACCCCCTTTTGGCTTTTTAGCTGTATATCTTGTTTTTGGTGTGAAACCGCATAGCCAGTCAGTCCGTGTTTTGTTTTTGGGGAATTCTTGTGTTTCTTTGCTAGTTAACCTGGTGCCGATGGGTATTTCCATCTAGTTCTTCCCTTGGATGGTCTTATTCAAATTTTCTTTATTTTTTCTCCTGAATTAAGTTTTATACACCACGTCTCTCCCATGTTATAGTGCGTTTCTTTCCTGATAATTATATTGATGTTGGAGTTTTCCTTTAATCGAGGGTTTTCTTTCCCTTCTTTAATTTTATTTTAAAAAAACGTACTTTCTTTCAGCATTTTAGAGAGTCTGTCTTCTGAGTATTTGGCGTCACAGTTAAAATGTTTTGTTTTTCTTAATTTCTAACTTTTCTTTCTTGGTTGTTGTCAGTACCTGGGGGATTCTAATTCTACAGGATTCTTATGTCATTGTTTTTTTTTTTTTCGTTCTGGTTTTGAAAGTATGGAGTCAGAATATTGATCGCATTTCAGCTCAATTTCTGATAAGAGTATCTGAACTTGGCATATAGTAAAGTTTGGAATTTTGCTTCCTTTTCTTTGCGGGAAAAAAGTTGTGCCTACACTTTCTTTCCGTGTTGCACTTGCAAAATTCTATAAGTTGTTCGATTTTGTAATCAGCCAAATATGCTATTCTTTTACTTTGATTCAATATCTAATTGGTAAGCAAGACAACATAGACTATACTTTTAATAGCTATTATTTCAATTGTTTCTGATTTTCTTGGCGTATTCTTGGAAAAATTCCATCTTTGACCTACATGAACATTCCTGTCCTCTCACCGTGCGTTGGTAACGTGAAAACTTCCAGACCCATAACTGCGATCTGAGGAGACAGTCAGACAGAACAAAGTGTCTGCTGGTAGTATAGAAGTGTCATGAAGTCAAGCAGTCATTGAATGTCACGGATGTGTCTTTCATATGGTTTCACAGATCAGCTAATATCATGGCTGATTCTATTGGCAAAACGGGGGGTGTGTAGACAATCGACGTTTTGGGTCGGATTGTAAAGTAAATTGAAGTTAATGGTTGAGGTGGCTTATACTAGCATTAAATACTGGGGGGGAGAACCTTTCGCTGCTGTACATAAAAGTCTCTGTTACTGATAAAAAAAAAAAAACCAAACAGAACCTGTAATACTTCTCTTTTAGATGTAAAACCTCATTTGGAGGGAACTAACACTGAAAGGGTTCCAAGCAAATAGTCCTTTTGGTTCCATTCTGTTATCAATTTTAAACAATGTTACTCAGAAAACTATTACATCAATGGTGTTGATTTAAGGGATTATCTACAGGCCTAAGTAGCAATTAAAAGCTTCATTGCCAAGTCATAACAAGTGATGAAAATTAATGGTTTTGTCAGATAATTTGGCATTCCTCTCCTTTTCATCAATACTTGAATGACTTTTTATTTTTTCGAATATGCTTGTCGACGTGTAGTTAATGAAAATGTTGATGCCAACTTTCTTATGTACTTGTAGAAAATACTTGCATGGTTGTCAAGGCAATGTCTGCATGTGAAAAAAATACACCAAAGATTAGGGCTGTACCCAGTCTACCCCTCCTTAAGATCTCAGTTAGCTGAGACCAACATTGGGTAACGACCTTTTTTAGACACAAGTTTACTTGTCGACCTTGAGAGTCTCCTCCAAAGGTGGGGTTTCCATGAAACACTGGTTTTAGTGGAAGTTGTAGCTTGATAGAATAGAATTGTCAGAACAACCCTAAGTTTGTCAGACAGCTTTTTTTTCTTGATCAGCAGTCACACAAAGCTTGGTTGATGATGGTGAATCTCTCAACTCAACTAAGACTTGACACATCTATATGGGGTAAGCTACATGAAACCTATTTTGCCATTCCACTCTGTTTAGTGTGGACAATAATGGTGAATCTCCACTTCTCAAATCAACTGAGTATGGCTTATCTTGTACTTAATCAGTTCTAGTACTCCTGCATTAATATCTTTTTGGTTTCTGTTTCCTACTTCAAGATTCAATTCTAGATGCATACATTTATGTTGCACGATTGAAATAATATTCCTTAACATCAAGTTCTATTCCCATAATTCTCATTGGTCTCTACAGGCCTTTCTATTTCTACCTGAAATGTCTACTAGTGTGATCCCAACTCCCAAGAGGGCTTGGTTTCCTTATGTGTGTGTTTCAAATACTTCTTGAATCTGTTGTATTGTTGTTGTTGTTGTCGTTCCTTGGCTCCATCCCTGGTTTATTTCTTGTTTACCTATCTTCTGAAATTCTTGTTGGTGCTTTCTAGGGTTTCTCTCATTGGTCTTAATTTTATTGAGCCTTGTTAACTTAGCTGAAATTATGGCAGCTACTTGAAATTAGTTTTGCTACTTGGGTCCACTCCTCAAGTAAGGGGCCATTGCTTGGTGCAATGGTAAAATCTTGGGATGACAAATGTAAGAACATGGGTTGAAGTCTAAGAGCAGCATTTTGTGCAAAATAATGCTGGAGGTTAGGTGTGTATCCAGTCAATCCCTCCCAAGACCCTGGACAGCTGGGACCAACATTGGTAATGACCCTTGTGATTCTTGCAGTCCAAGTAGGAAAGTTCACTGATGGCTCGCATTTAGCAAAATGTTTGTCTAGAAATATATTATGGTTCCTATTGTTCGTGATCCCTGTGCAGATTTAGCTACTAGTAGGATGTCAATAATCTACCATGGACAAAGAGATCTGAGTGAAGTAGGACTTTATTTGGAGCTAAAGTTATGTTGTTTAATCATTGCTTGAGGTAAGGCACCCTTTCCAAAAATAACAAGGGATTTATTTATGCCAACTGATCAACACATACGAGTGCACATAACTAGTGGTTAAAATGCAAATGGTTATCAACCATATGGACTATTTAGATCCTGGTAAATTGGTTATTGATTATCTTTTGGTGTGGATATTTCAGAAGTAGAAGGGATTTCATCTGCTATCTTACCAAGGCGTTGCATTTACTTTTTTAGTTTTTCTAAGCAAACCATCTGCTGGTGCTGGTTTGGATATTTATTTTTTGAATCTTAAAGAAGAAAGTCTGTATTCCTTTCAACTCCTATTTAGGTAAAGTATATGGCTGCATACTTATGTTCCTTTGTGATAGTTATGATGTGTTTGTAAAAAGCTGAATGTTTTTATCTTTGTCCATGTTTTGTCATTATTCATATTTAAGTAAATACTGATAACTACTTTATCCGTTGGTGTCCACATTATTCCCATTTGAGTACATCATCCTTGATTTTGTATTGTCAGTAGCTAAACAAATGTTTCTTCAGTATTTAGTTAAATCCTTTCTTCTTGAGGAATTTCATGGGCCTGGAGGGTGATCTTCAAAAACAGGAACATAATGAAGAAAGGAATTAGATGGGCTATAGCCCATAGGCAATTTGATCACTCTATTTTAGTTTATACAATTGGTCATTGATGTCCCACTAATTAAAAAGACCCCAAGCCCAATGGACTAAGGAATGGACTTAAGTTTGAGAGTCTCAGATCTCATAGATCAGACCAACAAATCATGGAAAACTGATAGATTAAACTAGTTGGTCCTGAGGACATTGGGAAAGAAATCGAAGGAATCCAAGTTCCCCTATCAATCAGTGAGGATAAGATGTGGTGGGGAGAAAATCCAAGGGGACACTTCTCTATTAAATCAGTGTTTCAAATGTTGTTAAAAATAACATGACTGATAATAGATCCTTGAAAGCAATGGATACTATCATGGATTCATGGTTCAGCAGACATGTAACTCTCAATCTTCGAATGGTGGATCAAAATGAAAGATGAAAAAGTGATGAGAAAAATAAAAAATGTTGGAAAAAGGTTGCATGTATCCTATGGATCATTTGAAAAAATAGAATCTCCCCCATCAAATTATTGAGAAAGCTTGGGGAATCTTTATTGGATATGTTGAAATGAGCAAGGAAGAATTCAAAGCTGAGTCAAGATAATCGGAAATTGATTGAATGGGAAGCTGTAGTTACCCATGATATCAAGATAAATTTTGATGCATCCAATCTAAAACGTGGTCTCTTATCCATTGGATGCATGGCAAGGAACAGGGAAGAATAAACCCTTGGGAATTAAGTCAAAACCAACAGGAAAAATGACCATAACAATTGCAGAAGCCTGGGTAGATCTCACATTTTGTCTAGGGAAATAGGACACAAGAATGTAGGATTCAAGGAGATTGAAGAATTGTAATCGATAGCTTGAATAACTCATGCAAGCCTTGTTAGAGCATCTCCAACCTTCTTCAGGACTGTCACAAACAAAATTACAATGGAAGTGGATATGGAGGTCAAATATTCTCTCATACAAGGTGTAGGCTTGGCACTGTGAAGACGGTCCAAGTTTTGGAGATAGTGAGTAGGATGTTGGGAAGAATAATGGCATCAGAGACAAGACTGGGTTAGAGAGATAGAAATGGAAATCTCAGGGAATAAAGGACTGGGTGATGCTAGGGTTAGAGAGCTCAGAGAGTGACTTAAGTCTGAGCAGGAAGAATTAATTTGAAGGCCAAAATGATGGAATCAATGGTAGTCCTTTTTCTCATCATGAACC